TTTTTTGAGACAGAGTCTTGCTCTGTCACCCAGGCCGGAATGCAGACTGCTATTTCTGCCTCCTGGGCTCAAGCTATTTTCATGCCTCAGCCTCCTGAGAAGCTGGGATTATAGGTGTGCACCACCACACCTGGCTAATTTTTTGTGTTTTTTAGTAGAGACAGGGTTTCACCATGTTGGCCAGGCTGGTCTCAAACTCTTCACCTCAAGTCATCCACCCACCTTGGCCTCCCAAATTGCTGGGATTATACGAGTAAGCCACCACGCCTGGCACCCAAGAGAAATCCTCATACCAGCTGTTAAAAGAATATGATTTCCTGCATCCCCTAACAAGCAACACAGGGATAATTATGCCTACCTCACAGGGCGTTTGCGGGAATTAAATGAGGTAATGTTTCTGCAAGCTCCTGGCACATAGCAGGCAGTCAATAAATGTTAGTTCCCTCCTGCTTTGAGTTTTCCTTTGTGATTTGAAGGAACAAAGAGAGATGTTGAGAGATATTTTGAGCAGGAGAGGAGAGTAGATAAAGCAGCCAGGAAAGTCATCTCCTTGACCATCACCCTCCAGTAAAGTGGAAGAGATTATTTGCCAAGAGCAACTGGCAGAGGTGGAGAGGCTCAGGGCAGAAGCCAGACAAGCCTGGTTTATCTTAGAGTCCATCCAAAAGGGTTTAGTTACTAGAACAGCAGTTCCTCTGCATAAATCCTTCAGGTTCTCGAAAAATGTTATTAAATCACTTCTGCATCATAAATAATCCTAATTTTATTGCTCTGGCCTCTCAGGCCAAGGCGTGAGTCCTGCAAGATCTCTCTCCTGCTGAGCCGCAGGCCCAGGCACACGGCTGCAGGGGCAGGATCCCAGGCTGGGCTGAGTGGAATCCAGTGGCCTGTATCGTGTGCTGGCTTTCTCTGATGTTTTCCAAGCTATTTCACTTTTTAATTTTTTTTTTAATTTCTCAAAAAACATATGGAATGCTTCACAGATTTGCATGTCATCCTAAGCAGGGGGCATGCTAATCTCCTCTGTATTGTTCAGTTTTAGTATACGTGCGGCCAAAGTGAGCAGCACTACAAGCCCTTTCAAAGTTGAGGTCTTCTTAGTAATCTTCCTTGAGGTGTAGGACTCCAAATGGGAGGTTTATTAGCAAGGTCCTTCGTGCAAAGGCATGGGAATTTGGGAATTCTGTTACTTGTCTATTTAGATATGTCTCTTATCCTGTTTGTGTTAGTTTATCTTTTCTTTTTCTCTTTTTTTAAGCCATGGAATTTTTTAAAATCTTCTTCCAAAAGGCCAGTAGAGGTGGCTCACACCTGTAATCCCAGCACTCTGGGAGGCTGAGGTGGATGAAGCACGAGGTCAAGAGATCAAGACCATCCTAGCCAATGTGGTGAAACCGCATCTCTACTAGAAATACCAAACGTAGCTGGGCGTGTTGGTGCGTGCCTGTAGTCCCAACTACTCAGGAAGCTGAGGCAGGACAATCACTTGAACACGGGAGGTGGAGGTTACAGTGAACTGAGATCAGGCCACTGCACTCCAGACTGGCAATGGAGCAAGGCTCTGTCTCAAAAAAATACCAACCAACCAACCAATTAAACAAACTTCTTCCAAAAGAGTGGATGGGTGGCTTTCATCTATTCTGTTGTGGTCCAAGGATGTTTCTCCCCCATGTAAAAACAAATGGTTGTGATTATTCAATACCAAATTGCATCCCATATCTTAAGAAGTCCTGCTATTCTCCCCAGCTGTCCTCATCCATATCTATGTATCTTTTCTTTTCTTTTTTTGTTTTTTTGAGACAGTGTTTCACTCTTGTTCTCCAGGCTGGAGTACAATGGCAGGATCTTGGCTCACCACACTGTCCACCTCCCAGATGGAGATTCTCCTGCCTCAGCCTCCTGAGCAGCTGGGATTACAGGTATGCACCACCACACCTGGCTACTGGCTAATTTTGTATTTTTAGTAGAGACAGGCTTTCTCCATGTTGGCCGGGCTGGTCTTGAACTCCTGACCTCAGATGATCTGCCTGCCTCAGCCTTCCAAAGTACTGGGATTATATGCCTAAGCCACTGTGCCCTGCCCTGTATCTTTTCATTTATTATTGTTATTTTTTAATTTTAGAGATGATGTCTTGCTGTATTGCTCAGGCTGGAGTGC